CTAGAAACCTTTGAAATTCCGAGATTCAGGAAAGCAAAACATTTTATCTGATTTCTTGGCTTTCTCTCCGTTTCACAGTCAGACGCCCTACTTAACACTGCCTTTACTATATTTCCCTCTTTTAAATAAAAAAGTTTCTAGAGAAAAAAATGTATTCATGTAGGGTCATGATTCACAATGTACTAAAGCATATGGAGTGAGATTTCTCTCCTCTCTCTGTTCCCGTCATCAGCTCCCTAGTCTCTAATATTCTGTTACCATTTTCTTCTGAATCCTTTCAGAGATAACCTGTGCCATTATGAATGGATAGATACATACATATAATGTTTACAATTTCCCTCCAACTTCTTACAATACTCCTTTGCACCTTGCTCTTTCTGCATAGTACCCAGGGATCTTTGCATAGCAATACATGGAGAGCTTGCTCATTCTTTTTTATGTTCTCATAATATTCCTCTGCTGAAGTTTCTGTAGTTTATTTTATTACCTCCCATTGATAGACATTACGTCCACTCTTTCGTGGTGCAAACAGTGCTTCAATGCATAAGTTGAGAAACGTACTTACACACATGCAGGAAGGTATCCATGGGATAAGTCACTGCCTTCTCACGGTTCATCAAAGTTTCATTTTCATTGCAAGAAAACATTTTGCATTGGGTAGGAGTACTCACTAAAACACCTTAACATCTTTTGTTTATTTAATATAAAAGAATCATTCATGGGACCGAGTGAAACCACTTCCAAGTTACACATTCCATACACTAATTTATGACAAAGCTCGACTTCCACACTAAAAACAATCACTGCTTTTAGAGCTTTATTTGTATGACCAAAAGCAGCGGTTGGGGCACACTTGAAATAATATTCCCATTGATGACATGTGCAATAAGCCGAGAGCCACGCCAGGAAGAGGAGATATGCCAGCAGGCGCCCAGCCTTCCCAGGCAGCTGAGCAACTCACTCTCTGCCTCCCGGTCCTCCCAGTTCAACTTGTCATCTCAGCAAATTCACTAGGTCCGTGGCTTCTCAGCAAGCTTGAGTATGTCCAAAATTTTGCAAATATTTCCTGTCAGAGTTTTTAGAATTGTAATCCGCGGGCTCTTTCAGCTGACTGCCCTTCGCAAGGGTCAGGAGCGCTAAATGCATTCTTTTTAGTCACCAGTCCTAGAAGCCAGTGCACGCTGAGCAAGTTCCACCACTGATTGAATTACATGGTGCTCCACGACTGGAAGCTCACTCCTTGTCCCCAGCAACAAAGTGATGGAATCCATAATGATAAAATTGCCACGAAGCATGAACTAACATTTAACAGGCATTGACTATGTGTCAAGCACTCTGTTAGAGCTTCAGACACATTCTTTTTAAAAATCCGTGTTTGCAGTACACAATGATCTTATTCTTTCTGGGAAGCTGGTACGTGTATGTTTCATATTAATTCCCTCTTCACCCCCTTCACCTCCCTCTCCTCCATCTCTCAGTCCCTTTCCCATTTGCAAAAGATCTATCTTCCCTTTTGCTATGTATCTTTCATTTTGCTGTTTAATTTATGGGTTTCTTAAACTTTGGGTTTCTCATATAAGAAAAACCATGTGATATTTAAACCTGTGTGTCTGACTTATTTCACTTAACATTGTAGTCTCAAGGTTCATCCATTATCCTACAGGTGATTTAAATTTTTACTTCTTTATGGCATTGCGGTACTACATGGTGTATAAACACCTCTTAGATTTCCACCCTTTGCAGATTTACACCCAGGACCCATGGTACTCACCCCTGTCCCTTGTATACTATTCACCACAGTTAACTCTGATGACAGCATCTTATTTGTCTTAAGAGCTACAAAAATGGAAACATGACCGAAAGAGAGAACACAGGGAACGGAACCAGTCTTACGCATCTTTGACTAACTTCATTATATTCTCTAGAGGATAAAAATTGTATGAGGAGAAAGAAGAAAGATCTGAACTGGATGTGGTACACACACCTGTAATCCCAGCACTTGGGAGGCTGAGGCAGGAGGATCGTTGCGAGTTTGAGGCCAGCCTGGGCTACAAAGTGAGCTCAAGGCCAGCCTGAACTGCATAGTGAGGCCCCGTATAAAAAAGACCAAAAAAAAAAAAAATCTGTACAGATGTGTTGCAAGGTTGGGACAGAGGCCACTTACAAAGGGACACCCAGTGGCAGGTAAAAGCACCTAGACTATAACCACCCTCTCCAATTTTAAGTTTTCAATTTTTATTCTACTTTTATTTTTATTAGCATGGTTGTAGTACATAATGATTACAGTCCTCGTGGGAGTTGGTAGTGAACATCTTAATTCTTTTTGCATCCCTTCCTCTTCCCTCTGTCACTTGACCCCATTCCCTTTTGCTGAGGAGAACATGTGGGAATACAAAGGCTGGGGTGGATTTTCCAGGTTTGCCATGTATTGATAATAATTAGCTCTAGTTAATGGTTCATTAAGTGACAGCGTGCTCAAGGACCTGAAACTTCTAATCAGTGCGTTAGACAGTCTTCAGAAGTTGCTCAAGTGTGCTCAGGAGAGGTGTTTGGGAGCATGCCTCTTAAAACATAATCATCTCTCAGATCAGCTCATAAGAAATTGTCTTTCAAAAGAGGTATTTTGAGATGGGGTCCTGGGTCTTTAATCATAGAAGAGTTTTGTGTCACTGAAGCATTACAGCCACTGAGACTGGGGTCGACATCTGACCAACTGCCACGAGGGGTTGTTGGCAATGGGGTTGACACCTCGAAAGGTTTGTCACACAGTTAATTACACTCACTTTAGCCAAGAGTTAAGTGAAAGGCCACCTCGCTCTGTCTTTTTGATCTGCACCCAGTTTGAAACTCTACTACCACGTGCAGTGATTTGTTTTCTGTTCCATCTGAGTCCCCCAGGGCAATAGGCTGAGCTGCGACATCTGTGACCCCCTCAGCTGTCTGAGCACAGCTTGCTGCGTGCTTCTGGTATCCACGAAGAGGAGGGTCCTGTGGGATGTCATCTGCAGCCATTGCATGTAGGCCCTAACTGGAAGCGTGGACCTGGGAGGCAATTACTGTGGCCTCTCCATTATTTCTGAGAAGTACCGGAACGATCGCTGGAAGCAGCTGTCTTGTCCAGTACAGCTGTTCTCTTGGGAAGCTCCGAGCCCAGTGAATTTCACAGCTTTTTACAGCTTCTGGGTGAATACATAATGAGTTTCCAAATCCCTTGATAAGTGATTGCAAAAGTGAAAATAAAACCCATTGCCATTTTATCTTGGTATCTATATGTAAGTCAGGAAATAGAAATCGAAAGCAAAAAAACTGGGCTTCATGATCATGTGGACTTTTTTGGCACTTGGAGAATCCATAGTCCTTATATCAATCTTGAATAAATATTGTTAATGATACAGTTTTAATTTTGTCCTAGACTGCAGTAACTCATGGAAAATTAGGGCAGGCAGGAATTTATTCCACACCTTCATATTATGAATTTGAGCTCAGAGATGTCAGTTCTGGTGGTAAAAAGAACATGAGGCATTGCTGGGCCTGGTGGCACACTCCTGTCATCCCAGCACTCAGGAGGCTGAGGCAGGAGGATCACTGCAAGTTCAAAACCAACCTGGGGTACAAAATGAGACCAAGGCCATCCTGAACTGCATAGTGAGACCCTGTCTCAAAAAGACAAACAAAACAAAACAAAAAAGCAAAACACTAGGCTTAGAAGGAAGAAACTAGAACTTGCATTTTAACCTAACACTGTGACTGAGACCCAGAGCAGCCAGGGACCCTGTGATTCTTGATGGGCAAACTGGAGCGATTTAGGCTGCAGCCTGTAGGTGCTGCTTTGTTGGGCAGGAAGAGTGAAGCTGCCCTAGGCACTTGGCAAGACACTGGTTCTTACGGAGCCAAACTAGTAAAATTCACATAGGAGTGGGGAAAAAGCCACCTTTAAAAATAAATCGTAATATTGGAAATTTACAGTGAAAGAGGTTTTAAAACAGACCTGTTTTCTTTGTGATCAGAGAGTACTACCTGTCTATTGTACAAATAAATTTTAAGTATCCAGATAATGTGGAGAGCGAAGTGAGAAATGGATTCCTTACAATTCCTGATGAATATGTTTCCAACTACGTCCTAGAAGAATAGACAGACAGACAGACAGTGTGCTGTATGTGCTCTTGCCGCGTTAGCAGATGTTGATATCATCTTTCAGTGCCTTTGACAGCACTCAGAATTCCAAGCAAAGCGAATTGGCTGTAATATGTGGGAAGATGATCCGATCATAGATATGATGGAAATTTGGTAATCTGAGAATAGACCAAATGAATGAAATAAGGATGCAAAAAAGTAAAACAAAAGGAATCTTGTAGGGGGTAGACAGGTATGGTGCTAAGGCCTCATGCATTTGCTGTATTTCATCTTCTCCGTTACCATACATGTAGTAACATGATATCTCCATTTTTTTTCACATGAACTGATGTCCAAAGAAGTGAAAAACAGCTGACTAGGAAGCATTAGCAATTAGATCTGCATGGCAGCAGGCATTTCCACGGCCTAATTTTGTTGGCTTATGTTTTCTTTTACTGAAGCTACACATGCATATAATTTAAAGAATCAAACAGTTCTGTAAAGTTTTGAGCACAACAATCTCCTAATCATTCCCCTGCCCAACTCCGTATTCCCTAAGGCTACTCACCCTGCCTGGCTGATTCATCAGGTGTTTCCCTCCGGGTTGTTAGGTACCTTACTGGAATTGTGACTCAGCGGGTTTTCCATCTTAGGCGTTCTTTAGCGTTATGTCACTCCAGAATTGAGGAGCTAGCCTCTTTTTCTCTCCTTCCACACTCCCACCATGAGCACCATTCCCCTCTACCCATTATCCCTATGTGGAAACACCAGGATCATGACTATACTAATAGTGTTTGCATTATTAGGAGCAGGGAAGTATTATTCACAGCTAATCCCTATGGACCATGAAGTCAGTGACAATGTTTCCTTCCCTATACTACCTCTTATTGTCCCTGAATTACTGTCTTGATTATTCCACCATTGTTTGCTTGGGTTTTCTTTTATTTACATATTACTAATTGTAGCTCTCAGGTGTATAGATCTCCTTTCAATATAGCCAGACACACGAGGGACTTGAACAGTTGCATCTTCTCCAGGAAGGCAGACTTGCTCCAACGCAGCCGATGCTCTCCAGCCCTAGCTCCAGGCGGCAGGTGAGGCTCTTTTCTGGGTCATCCTGAGGATTCGCTTTGCCTGTCTCTGGTCTTGGATCCTGTTTCCGCATTCCGGTGTCTCCCTCAGTCTAGCTTGTGCCCTTGTTTTAGTGAAGGACACAATGTAGGGGCTTTCTGAGAAAGGCTGCAAGGGAAGTAAAACTTGGAGATCACATATAGCTGAACATATCATTGTATCCCCAACCCCCACCCCAACTGAACCCGGGGTCTTGGCACTGAGCTACATCCCCAGTCCCTACCCCTCTTTTCAAACAAATTTTGAAACACGGTCTAACTAATTTGCTAAATTGTCCAGGCTGGGCTCAAACTTGCATTCCCCCTGCCTCAGCCTCCCAGAGTGCTGTGACAACAGGCCTGTGCTGCTGCTCCCAGCCACAGTGCTACTTTTCAAAGGCACGGAGCTTGATTTTTCCTCTCAACTTTGAATGCAGTGTTCTATGATCTTCTAGATTCAGGTGTTGCTGTTAAGATCAAATGACACTGTTTTGAAAATTTTTTTTATATTAAACTTTTCTGCAAGTTTGTAGGCTCATCTTTGTCCCTCTTACTCTGAATTTTTTGTTTATTGTACAATTCAAACTTATAGAGTGCCCAGTAGGTGCCAGGCGCTGTTTTAGGTACTTAAAATGTACCCATGAAACTTTTAATCTGATATCCTCACGCAGCCTCTATTTTAACCCGCTGTTCTTAGTAGTTTGTGGGCCCTCTAATCTAAAAACTGAGGTTATTTTAATTTTACTGTCTTCTCTTCTCTTCTCTTCATAATCCCATTGTTGGATATTGGACTTCTTGGATCGGCCCTCTAATTTTCACATCTTCTCCTCTACCCTATATTAGTCTTTTTCTCTTCTTCCTAGGAGATTTTCTTAACTTTATCTTTTGGCCCTTACCTCGCAGTTCTCATTTCTAATGTCATAGTTTTAATGCGTAGGTTTCTTTGGAGCTCACCGAAAATTCCTTTTGTAGATAACCTTGTTATTGTTTCATATCTTATCTCTCTGCAGACTAAGGCGTTGGGTTAAATTTTCCTGTTGGCTCAGTTTGTTTCCTCCAAGTTGATCTCTTCTGTTTTCGGTCTCTGTGACTCAATGGCTTTCCTCAAACAGCCGGCCACCCCTGGCTGCCCACTTTCATTTTGAGGACAGAGCATTTTGTAAGGGGTGCTCTGTGTGAATAAGCACACTCTGCATGAGTTTTGTTTCTGGATGAGGTGAAGTGTCAGGGTCTTTTCTCTGCAGCTGGAAACTCCAGCCTCCTCCCATGGAAACAGAAGCATGGCTACCAGGGTGCAGGGGCCGGGGAAGGGAGGGCTGAGGGAGTCTCAGGACGCCGTTCGCACCCTTGCTCCTTTCCCTCCTGCTAGGAGGCCCCTTGCAAACGCGGTGCTTCCATTCCTTTAGGGAGGGTGCACACATACCGGACGGATCTTCATTCCTTTTATCCTCCTCCTCTCCTCACGTACCTCCCTCCCTCCATCTCTAGATCCCTTTCCCTCATTTTATTATTACTGTTAGCATTTTTTCTAGCTCTGGTTTGTGACATAATGATTACATTTACTGAGGGTAATTGGTATTTGTACGTGACACACCGTAAATCTTTCTACATCCTCCACCCCCCGCCCCACACACTCCATCTCTTGGTCCTCTTCCCATTTGGAAAAGATCCATCTCCCTGTTTCTTTTTATCAGTCTTTTATTTTGTTCTTTATTTATACCTTGGATTACTCAAATGAGAGAAATCGTTGGTGTTTAAGCCAGTGATTATTGGCTTAAATTAGCTTATTTTTATTGGGTGATTTACTTCACTTAACACATCTTCAAGGTGTATCTATTTCTACAAATGCCTCAGATTTATCCTTTCCATATAGATGTATTATGTAGAGATGCCACATTTTCTTTATCCTTGTGTCTGCTGATGGACATATAAGCTGTAAACTAGCACAACCATTATGGAAATCAGTATGGAGGTTTCCATTTGGCCCAGGTATTTCCCTTCTAGGTATCTTCCCCAAAGAGCTAAAGGCATCATATTACAGTGTCGTGTGCGTTCCCATGTGTACAGCAGCACAATTCCTAGTAGCTAAATCTTGGAAGCAGTTCACAGACTTACTCTTGGTACTTTGTCCTCGATATTGCAGCCCTCATATTTTCCCAGCAACCAAGCCAGAGTCCCATGGTTTTGCGACCAGAATGAGCTAGGAAGAGGATGTCATCCACCTGAACAGAGAGAGTAGGGAATTAGAGACCTGGCAGGTTCTTACAGTGAATTCCACCAAAACCCCTAGAGCCACTCTCATTCCTAATTCCTAAAATATATGTTGCTCCAATTTTTAGGGCTCTGTAGTGGACGTTGGGCTGGTTCTTATCAGCCTGAAGCTTCAGCTTCCTGGGTGTCCTACATAAGTCACTATGGTGTCCTCAGCGTCCTGGTTTCTAAGTTCATTGCTGCCTTTCCTTCCCATTGCCTTCGCCCCTGTGCTTTAGTGTTTTGTTAAAAATCATTTTACAGGGAGCCGGGTATGGTGGCATACACCTGTAATCCCAACACTTGGGAGGCTGAGGCAGGAGGATCATTGCAAGTTTGAGACCAGCCTGGGCTACGAGGTGAACTCAAGGCCAGGCTGAACTGCATAGTGAGACCCTGTCTCAAAAAAATCATTTTACTGTTCTCTGAGCTGGACTCAGGAGGGAAGAGATTTGAACGCTCACATTCAATCTGAGGACATTAGAGCTTAAACAGCTGCCAATGTGTTGTATTTTGCAAGGTTTGTTTTAACTGCTCTGAAAGGAAAGGTTCTAAATCTAGCAAACACAAGTGCAGTCTTTAAAGCTTTATGATGATCGTAGTTTGGACAAAAGTGTCCAGCAGGTCCTTCCACTGTTTTTGTTTTATTTTGTTTGGGCTTTTTCTTTTTTTGTGCTGGGGAGGCTAGGGATGGAAGCCAAGGGTGCTTTACCACTGAGCTACATATCCACTCCTATTTTATTTTATTTTATTTTTCTTTTCAAGACAGGGTGTCTTGGTTACTTTTCTCTCCTTACTGAGACAAAATACCCAACACCCAAAATGAAGGAAGGAAAGGTTTATTTCGCTAATAGTGTGTGGAGCTTTCAGTCCATACTTGGCTGGCTCCAAGGCAGAAGATAACAAAGCAACAAGAGCAAAGGGGGGAATGGCAGCTGAAGAGCAAACAGCCAGAGCAAATGGGAGGAATCACTGCAAGCAGCTTTGCCTTACATTGTAAACAGGCTACCCCCACCTAAGGGGCATGTAGCTCTCACATAATCTCCATGCCCTCCTCTTCCACAGGCTCAGGATGTATACAAAGTAAGCACCCTGGCTTCCTGCTGAGTCACTTAGTAAAACCTCTAGACTCCCCAAGTTGACAGAATGTATCAACCATAACACAGGGTCTCACTATGTTTCCCAGGCAGGACTCAAACTTTGATCTTCCTCAGCTTCTTTAGTGATAGACCACCACACCCAGCTGTTTGTTTTTCATTCCACGTCCACCAGAAATCTTCTGGAACCTTCTAAGCATGTCTAAAGTGAAGTGCACAACTTGCCTCCAAGCGTGGGCGCTGCGAGGGTCTCAGAGAGTGTGCCATCTCCCTGAGTGCGCCCTTGGCAGAGATCTGGGAGTCATCCCCATCCTCCCTGTCCTTGGGCCCACACCTCCCCCGGCAGGAGCCCCTCCTTCCTCTGCACCTCCCCTGACTTTGGTAGCGGAGGCTGTCTTCCTCCTCACACTGCCTGGCAAAGTGCGAGTCGAGTCTTGCTCCTGCAGTGGCTTCACCTTCTGCTGTCCCCCGTGAGGCCTGCGAGGGCCTGCAGGACGGGACGGGTACCTCTCCTTGCTGGCCGTGTCCCTGTGTTTCCTTCTTTCTTCCTTTCTTTCCTTTCAGTGGGGCAGATCCAACCCAAGGCCCTCATACCTGCTAGCCAGACACTGCCACTGAGCACCTCCTCAGCCCTTTTTTCTTTACTTTGAGACAGGTTCTTGCTAAGTGCCCAGGCTGGCCTCCAACTTGTGATCTTCCTGCCTCAGCCTTCCAAGTCACTGAAATCACAGGAGTGTGCCTCTAAGCCCTGGCCTCGCTCTCTGACCTTTTTTCTGATACTTTCTCTACAAAGTGCTCCACTGCCCAGCTGCTCCCCACCACCCCCCTGGCCTGTGCATGGCCCAGGCTGGGCCCCACTCCTTCCTTGGGGCGTGGTCTGGGTGCCCCTTCCTCAGGGAAGCCTCGTAGAACCCAAGATTCTTCTTAGTGTCCTCATAAGGAAAACACGCTTTATTTCTTTATAGTATTATTTGACTTATTAATTAGGCCTTCTTTTTTTATGACTATTTGATAAGATCCGCATCACCCAACAGACTGTACCCACCATGAGAGCCAAGAACACCACACCTCTACCCTTCCTCCCCATGCTGTTGTCAGGACCTGCTCACATGCTGACTGTCTCTTTTGTTTTTATTTTACATTTATTTTTTACTTGGCGGTGTTCATGAATGCTAGGCACTGAGCTACACCCACAGGTGGTTGTCCCTCTTAGAGTAGACTTTTCAAAAGGAAAGCAGTATCTCAGCCAAAAAAGCTCCCCAGGCTCAGTGTAGTGACAGTGGCGCAACCTTTCCTTTAGTGATTCAAAGTCGCCGATACACAAGAAACATGCTGCGGTAAAAGAAGTTTCTCGGTCTTTTGAGGGTGTGGGGACAACGGCTACTAAGTAAAATAACCTCAGATGGATGGGACGGGGGACAATGTCCAAGTTTTCAAAAAGGAATTTGAACTTTTTTAATGCGCAGTAGGAGATGAAGAGAGGGACTCAACCGCCACCTTCAAATATAAGTATTTAGTAATAATCAGGTTAACTATTATTATTGCAGTTACTGAGCACTTACCCACCAGCAGCAAGCAAGAGCTTCAAATACATCATCTCCGAGTCCTCACAGGGACCTCGGAGGCGCCAGCTGGGAGTGTTTCCATCCTACGAGGAAGGAAGCCCAGCGGGCGAGGAAACTGGCTGTGGAGCTGTGTGCGGAAGAGCTGGAGCTGGAATTCTCACCCAAGGCCCCGGCCCTGGCCCCAGTGAGCTTACCCTGGATGGTCAGAGTGGCATGCAGTGCTTGCCAAGGAGTTTCACCAAAGAAGAATGATCTTGCACTTGGGAGAAGCTCCATCTGGTCACAAGGAGGAAGCATTTAGAAACATTATACCCTGGAAGAAACCGCCTTTTAAATAAGCTGCAGATCTACTTAGCTAGCGTTATAGGCAATACTTAAACCTCAACATAATTTGAAGTCTCTCCCAGTTCCCCAAGTCTGAAAGGTTGTTCACTGTGTCTCATGTCTTCAACACCCTGCCCAGTTAAAAGTTCACCTAAAGCCAGGTGTGGTGGCGCACGCCTGTAAGCCCAGCAATTAGGAGGCTGAGGCAGGAGGATTGCTCCAAGTTCGAGACCAGCCTGGGCTACAAAGTGAACTGAAGGATAGCATGAACTGCATAGCGAGACCCTGTCTCAAAAAGACAAAAAAAAAAGTTCACGTAATGTCAGCTTTGCATTATCCCAGGCCAGCTTATTGGGGCAAATCTTGCTTTACTGAGGTTAGTACTCACCTTGCTGAATGAGTCACTATGTTAACATCTTGGCATATCGTCATCCAATCAGCACCCACTCGGTTTAATTACTTCCTTTGCAGACACTCTGCTGTCTACAGGGAAACACTCTGAAATGCAGCTCTATGTCTTAGTCTCTCTGTGCTGAGATCAGGTAATATATAATGCACTGAAATGTAGAGGCTCATAGTTCTGAGGCTGGGACGTCCAAGACGCAGGGGTTGCGTGTAGTGAGAGTTTTTGTCTGTTTGGGTTTCTTGTCATTTGTTTTTGCTCTCAGCACTGAAAATTTAACACAGGACGTTGGCACTGAGCAAAGCCAAGCATTTTAGTTTTTTTAAGACAGGGTCTCACTAAATTGCTCAGTCTAGGCTCAAACTTGCAGTCCTCCTGCGTCAGCCTCCCTGTTACAGTTTGTGCCTAGATGTCCTCGAAAACCCTCATGTAGTCATGGAGACAGGCTTTTCTGCAAGTGGCTGAATCCAGAGATTGTGGCTGATTCATCGTGCAGTTCTGACATCAAGTGTGCTGTGATTAAGTGTGGATGATTGCAGGATCAGTCCACTGGTTGGATTGGCACAGCCCTAACCCCAGAAGCCTGTATAAAACAAAAGAGGCAGAAAGAGGTTTTCCCCCTCTTTGCTCTTTTTTTTATTTTAAAGAGAAAAAAATAAAACAAAATTTCAAAACAGATAATAGGAGGACAACAATGGTTAATAATACATTGTGTTTAGTTATCTTTAAATGAAGTTCCTTTTTTGCTCTCGTTGATTTTGCTGTCTTCTGCTGCCGTGAACAGTTGCCCTCTGCCATGCCACCCTGCCTTGGAGCCAGCTGATTATGGACTGAAACCTCCACAAACTGTGAGCTAGATAAACCTTTCCTTCCTTAACTTTGAGTGTTTGGTGTTTTGTCTCAACAAGGAGAGAAAAGTAACTAAGATTCCAGAGTATTGGGATTACAGTATATGCGAGTAGGCCCAGCGAGGAAGGGCTTCCTTCTTATGTCATCTGATGGCAAAAGAGCAAAGAGAAAATAACAGGAAAAGGAAGTTTGAACTCATCCTTTTATCAGGAACTCATTCCATCAACAACGTCATTAATCTACTTCTAAGGGCAGTGGCTTCCTGTCTACCTTCCAGCGCTGTTGCGTTGAAGATTGTTTCTAATACATGAACCAACCAGCACAAATCACCTCCACTCTTAGTACCAGATCTCCCCTCCCCAGGAAAGTACGAGATCATAAATGATGCGAAGGACCCGGCATGGTGGCACGTGCCTGTAATCCCAGCACTCTGGATCACCTGGGGGAAGAAGGCCATCCTGGGTGACAAAGCCAGTTCAAGGCTAATCTGAGCAAGGCCCCATCTCAAAAATAAAACCAATACACAAACAAACAAAAAAGAAACAAAGGAGAAAGATATAGGACAAGAATTTAAAGAATTAACATGATTATTGTGAAGATTTGCTGAGCAAAAAAAAAAAAAAAATACATGAGAAAAGATAAAAGAAGACATCATGATTCATTAAATTAGAAAGGCAAAAACCTGTAGAAAATACAGGACTTAGGAAGACTACATTATTCCTTACAATTATCTTGAGGATTATTTAAAATGTGCTAAAGTACTGGGAAGAAATAAACTTAGAGCACATAAAGAACCTGATTTAGCCGGGCGTGGTGGCACACGCCTGCAGTCCCAGGACTCGGGAGGCTGAGGAAGGAGGATCGCTGTGAGTTCTCAGCCAGCCTGAACTATAGCAAGGTCCTATCTCAAAGCAAAACAAAACAAATCCAACTTGCTGGGGCAAATAGTGTTTACCCGGCTAGCAAGGTCCTGTCTCACAAAACAAAACAAAACAAATCAAACTTTCCGGGGCAAATAGTGTCTTTCTGGCAGCAGTGGAGCACGTCAAGGAAAGTGTGGCAGAACTGAGGTCCCCCGCTCTTCTGTGGATGCCCCACTGAGCTGCGCTGACTCAGCCTACCCCGGGAAAGGCTTCACTCCGGTCTCTGTGCCAGGGCAGGGCCACAGGCTGCAGGACTGGAACCTTGGCTCCCTCTTGCTTTGGTGAAATACCTGTCCACAGGCCTTAAAACCTTAAAAGTAGGGGTTGGGGATTTAGCTCAGAGGCACAGCGCCTTCCTGGCAAACGCAAGGTTGTGAGTTCAAATCCTGGTACCGGAAAAAAACAAACAAAAAAAACCTTAAAAGTAACGTGTTCAGACCCTTCAAAGGCCCTTTGTCTACCTGCTTTATCTAAAATAAAATGTTCCTCCAATTCCCCGCTGAATCATTAGAAGGCAGGAAACAAAGGATGAGTTGTGTATCTGTCTGGACACTAGGCAAGTTCTCTGATAGCGATAAGAAAATTCTGCACTAAGCAGCTGAATCTGGCTGTGGAATTTGAAAACATCAGGAACAGCTCTTTCCGTAAGCCTCCCGGGGCCTCCCTCATGTTTTAATAAGAGTGAGTGTTTGATATGTGTAATAGCACATTTGATTGTCTTCACAGGCAGTGCCAGCAGCCCACCATGACCAGTGACCCTCCTGCATGTGAAGATTGACATTACTATTCCCCGAATGCACGAAAACTCAAGTTTTATGAGGTTTGCATGCTTTGGGAATTATCAGTTCAATGTCTTTCTTATCCCAAGTTCACCTCGGGCTCCGTCTGCCCAGCAGCGTGAATGGTTTCCTGGCAACAGTGTAGGGCTGTCCTGTGTCCCTCACACTTTACACCCAATCCCTTCCCCACCTGGGGTCTCTCAGGACGCCAAGGGAGTGGAACAGTCTCCTCGGGGCTGCATTCCTCGTATTCAGCAGAATCTTTGTCAAAGGTAAATACTCAATATAGAGGTGGGTAAAGGGCAAAGACAGATTTAAGAATGGGTGCTTTCTTATTTTCTCAGGACACTGGGAAATGTCATATAATTCCTCTTTTCCCCAACCCAGCTGTATTTCAGGATCACCTTGGGAATTTTTTTAAAGCAGCAATTGGTCCTCACGCACAAGCATTCCAAGGAACAGCTTACAAAACTCCGGCCAATGATTGTGATATGCTGCTAAATTTGAGAAGCAAGAATTTAACCTATCCGGCCTCAGTTTACTCATCCGGAAAACAGCTGACCTCGCTGCCTCCCAGGGTGTCATGAAAATCAAACGCAATACAGTGCAAAGGGACAGCGCAGAGCAGGACAAGAATGGCGGGTGGCGGAACAGGCCTGCCAGAAAAACACACGCAGTTTCACAACCCGAATGCTTCGCTGTGACACAGCCGTGACTCATCAGATTCCAAGATTTAAATAGGATCCGAATGCTTCCTGAACGAGTCAGTTCCTCACTTCTTTGTCTATAAATCTTCCACATTCCCTTCTGCCAGTACTGGCTACGAAGCACCTACTTTATATAAAATGCATGGAGAGCTTGCGGAGGACCTAGTCATTTCCAGGAAAGACCACTCATTCATTCCTGACTTTATTTCTCCACGCCCTCAGCTGTCACCATTGGTCAGTTCAAGCCCTTGCAAAGAGGAAAACTCCGGGTTGATTATCTCCAACCCCGCAGCAACCTGAGTGTTGCAGACACTGCCAGACGCTGTCGAGGCTCCCCACCCCCACCGTGCATGCGTCAGCTCCTGATGCAACTGGCCAGCTCCCTTCTTCAGAGAACTGACCAGGGCACTGAAAGCCACAAGTCGGGGAGACGGGGTGCCAGTCGGGAGCCGGCCCCGCGCAGGGAGACTAGAAAAGCCTAGAGGGCTCGCCTTGAATGAACGTCGGAGTCGCACACTGCGCAGCTCCCGCGGGCCGGTGCTGAGCAGGCAGGGTCACCCGAAACTGCTCGTTCCTGGCTTCCTCCTCCTTCTCTTCTACTTGCTGGGTTCTTATTGCAAAAGTTCCTTAAAGATCACTTGCCTAAAAGTCTCCCTCTCCGGGTCTTGCGCATGACTTCTTCACCTTCGGCAAGCAGAGGTATTATAATTTCAGAAAGCCATTCCCTTTGCGTTTGTGTGGTTAAGTGATTTGGCGCTGTGTCTATGTGTCCATGATAATTATGTCAGTGAAGACTGCTTCTTTTGGGATCTCAAGTCCTTCGGCCATCTTTTAAAATTCAAATTAGGTCTTTGTTCTGTGTAATTTACATACAGAAAAGTGAAAGATCTTACATACATAGCTTACCCAATTTTGACGCGTGTAACTAACTCCCCGGATGGAGGCACAAGGCAGTTCCAGCGCCCCAAGGCTCCCCACCCTAGTCCCAGGTATCTGTGGCCACTTCCAAATCCTGACTTTTCTGCCACTGTGGACGAGCTCAGGGTGCCCCAGTCTTCTCACAAACGAAGCATCCTGTAGGTGCTTCTGTTTGGCTGGGTTAAGCTTCATCAACTAAACATTATGTCTGAGAAATTTATCCAAACATAAAAAAATTTATCATTTTTTTCATTTCTATGTAATTTTCCATTGTCTGAATATACCATGATTTATTTACCATTCTATTATTGGTAGAAATTTGGGTTGTTTGGATTTGTTACGAGTAAAGTAGGCACATTCTTTACATTTCACGAGGCAGATATAAAGCATTCATCTCTGGGTGTATATTCAGAGCTCGAATTGCTGGGTCATAGGTTATGATTGTCTGGCTTTGGTTCACGCGATAGCAAGCACATTAATTCAATTTTGTGCACATTTCCACTTAGTTGATTTCTTTCCTTTTTAATTATAATTATCTTTTTCTTGAGATTTTTGCAGTACAATTTTCACACATAAAATTCGCCCCTTTTAAATGTAAATTTTTAAGAATTTTGGCTACAACTACAGTTGTGTAAGCACCACAATCAAGATAAAGAACATTGCTATCACCCTAATTATCTTCTACTATAACATAGGAATGTTTACCTTTTTGATGCAATCATGTATGACTTATCACCTATTATTTCTCTATTTTTTTAAGCAGAACTTTCTTGTTTATTCTTTTAGGTAAACTGTAGAATTACTCTACAGAATGTCAAAATAAACACCATAGCCTGCGTCTCTAAAAAAGCAGAAGTAATAGCTCTTGAGGTGGACAATCAATTTAGGAATTCCAGGCACTTGCTTCTAGATGACATTAGACAAACCATTGCCTTCTCTGAAACCAGATTTCTCCTCTGTAGCACGATTCTCACCATGGTGCCTGTGTCAGGGATTGTATTACAAAACGGTGAAAATAACGAACACATCACGAGGGCTTGGTCTGTACCAGCTCTGAAGCCCAGAGAAGTTGGTAAGTGGCCCAAGTCCTGAGTCAGACAGGAGCCGCTATGGTGGCAGCCCCTTCCCCGCTTTGTAGAGTAGCAGGACACCCTGGCAGAGCACTGCACAGAGGCCCGAGTGAAAAATGCAGAGATGCCAGCTTTTATTATCCTCATTCATCTCCTTTATTTTCTCCATAAAGTTACATGATTGTCTTCGTTTAGGCCGTGCACATTTCTTGTTAAGGCTACTCATAAATATTTTATGCCCTTTTGTACTATGGTGAATGGAGTGTCTCTTTTTTTTTTCTATTACGTTTTCTCATTGGTTACCTTGGGAAGAATCGAGACAGAATGATGACTCGTCTGTACTGTGAGGCTAAAAGAACCTGAGATGCGCTCAGCAGGTCCGCAAGACCCCACCAAACAGCAATTTTACTTGTGGTGGTGCTCGCCTAATGTCAAGGGAAGTCAGCACACATGAAAAAGACGGCGGGCACAGGTCACATTTTAGATGCTTTCACCCTTGGTCAAAGAGGATGGAAGGAGGAAGAGAGTAGAAAGAGCTAAGATACCCCTGCGGAGTAGTATGCCAACAGCTCTAGTACCTCAGACCTCTCCCACAACAGAAAAGTATTCTCAAACTCCTTCCTCATGTGATTTTTCAAAACCATACGTGCAGCTTTAAGTGATTTAATGAGCACTTTTTAAAACATCTTCTCACCACTTGAAGAATTCTGAGGTGAGCAAATATTTCTTTCTATCAAGATGTTCTTATGTCTCACAGCTCCTGTTACTCTAATCAGGAAAAAAAGTTTTTTAAACTTCATTTCCCTTAGACAGACAAATGTTGTGTGTGTGGGGAAGGAACGTGTAGGCAAAACACTGGAATGTTTTCACTTTTGTACGGTTGATGCCTTAAAAAGGAGTGTATCAGCCCTTTCTGAGGACAGTAAGGTGGAACTGTGTCGGTAAAGCATAGCGACTCCTCTGCTGTCAGTCAGGAGGCCAACGGGGGAGGTGCTACATTTTCAAGTAGAATAATTCCAGGACGGTTAATCAAAGAACCCTCGCCACAGGCGTGGGCAGGTAGAAGGACCACAGGGATGCCGCCCCAGCCCAGGAGGGCGGCCTTAAGGGGAAGCTGAGGCCTGTGGACAAGATCATGTTAGGAAGACCCCAAAGGACAAGCACAGTCAAATCCAGAATAACAAGCCCAGTGCAGCACAGGGAAATGGCATTTCCTTAGAGGCTCTCAGTGCATTAATTAAACACAAGAAAACTAACTAATGCATTAATCAAGACTGAGGGTTTGTAAATGACAAAAAACTAAGAAGAACTGGCTTAAACAAAGAAAGAAAACGTGTTTGATCACTGCCGGGAAATTCAAGAGTGCAGCTGGCTTCATACCCTGCTGGATCCATGGGCTCAAATGTGAGGAAAAGAAGACCGATTTTATCTCCTGGGACAAAGGAGCTTGTGGGGGGGACCCTCACACCATCTCCCCATCTGCATTCGTTCCTCTCAAGAGTAGAGGGCGACCTGGCGCTGCAGGTGCATTGGTGTGGAAGGGGTGGCAGGCTCCCTGGCAGCAGAAGCTTAGTTCACCAACCCAACTTTTGAGGAAAGTCATCTAAGCGGGGAATGTGAGCAGGGCCTGGAGCTGGGCATGGGTCAGCTCTCCCAGGGCCTTGATACGGTCTGGTCAGAGGCTTTTGCCCGCCCTCCTTTCTCTCAGCAGCTTGCCTGGGGGGCAATGTCCGAGACCACTGCTGTGCCTGTTGGCTGGTTATAAATCAGCTGCGCCGGGGAGCAGAGGGCAAAGCAGTTCTTTTGGGAAACAGTCCAAAGCCGTGAGCTCCATCAGCTCCTGGAGATAAAACTACTCCCGTTGTCTAACTTCTCCATCCCTTTCCCATTTGTCCTCATTGAGATGGGAAGCAGTATGTATTTTGGAACTCTAAAAGGCCCATTAGGATACATTCTTGCTCTTTCCATTTCTCAACAATGTTCTTTGCCCTCAGCTTCATTCTCAGATTCTCTTGGGGGATAAAGAGAGCAAAAGGAAGTTGTAGATTTATATTGACCTTGAAGCTCAATTTTGCTGGGCGTGGTGGCCCACGCCGAGAACCCCAGCACTCGGGAGGCTGAGGCAGGAGGATCACTGCGAGTTCGAGGCCAGCCTGGGCCACAAAGTGAGCTCAAAGACGGTCTGAACTGCATAATGACACCGTCTCAAAAAGGAAAAAAAAAAAAAAGAAGCTCAATTTCTAGGAAAAAAAGAACAACGCTTTGCCGAGTCCTTCAAAAATCCCAGGGCCTGTTTTCATTGGTCCAGCTTGGTTACATGCCTGTCCTCAGACAGGAATAGAGTACCCTGGTTGGCCAGAGTTGGGAGGCTTCACTTTTCCAGTTGCTAGCAATGGACCGTGTCCTCGGAGCCAGGTAGGCTAAAGATGGGGAAAAAACCACACCAATGTACAGACTGAACAGCTACTGGCTTGATCTCAGTAGAAATGTTTAACAAATTGTTTTTCTCAGGCTGGGAATGTAGCTCAGTGGTGCAGCGCCTGCCAGGCAAGCGTGAGGTCCTGAGTTCGATTCCTGAAATAAAAAAAAAAATTCACTGACAAATTGTTTTTCTCTACATTAGTGCTTACCAAACCTTGATCTGCCTTACAGTGTCCTGGAAGTAATGTACACGAGACCAATTAAATCAGAGGCTCTTGCAGGGTGCAAACCAAGGGTCCAGCACCTCACAGTGCCAAGGTGTTTAATGTACACCTAAAGTTAACAAGCCTTATCCTGTGCAGAGCACTATTTTTTAGTCTGAGGGCAGTTAAAGAAGATGCTGATTTTATTTTGTGACCACCATTATCCTCTTATTTGGAGTAGGCAGGGTATGCTGAGAAGTTGAAGTAGCAGTGACACAGCTTTCGAATCATTTTGTATTTCTACATAAAAACAGATGAAACAACTATACAGAAAAGCCCATGGACAATATATGCAACCAATCTTGGTGAAAGATATGTCCATGGAATAAAAATAGATGATACCAAACCAGTGTCAAAAAGTAGATGATACCAAACCAGTGGAATAAAAATAGATGATGCCAAACTCAAATGCAGTGAAGACAAAGGGAAGTGACAGGATTTCTGAAGGATATGAGATAAAACCACCCACAAAATACAGATGATCCCATTCTTACAGAGCAGTTATGTCTTAACAAATTCATCGTAAATTGGAAATGCATTTAATATACTTGGCTTACCTAATTTCACAGCTCAGCAACATAGCATGTTATAGCATAAAGGTTGTTAACCTTGTGGTCACATAAAGAACTGGGACCACTCAGTGTCGCCAGAGAGTATCCTACCACATACACCTGTTACCAAAATTCAAATTTCAAAGTATGGTTTCTACTGAGTCGATATTGCTTTCACACCATCATCTAAAGAAGAAAAACTAAAAGAATTAACGACATCGTTTACAGTGACACCGCATACTCATGTTAATAGCAGCACAACTCATAATAGGTAAACCTGGGAAGCAGCATATACAGGGCGTCCATCAACAGATGAATCTAATGTCATAAGTATGGTGTGATTAACCCTCTACCTCTGGGATGAATCTATGTTTACTCGGACCCCAAGCTTTTCCTTGTTCTGGGGCCCTTGGCAAATCGCTGCTCTAAGCCTCATTTTCTCCATCTGTAAAACTGGTTTAATACTTGTACCCATGCTGTGATGATAATAAAATAAGATAATGAATGTAGACTATTTAGGACCCTGCCAGCAAATTGTTGGCTAATAATAGGTTGATGATAATAATCATAACTTACTGGTAGCACAGTCTCAGTGCAGTTGGCAATATTCTTGTATGAAGAAAAAAAAAGACCATTAAAAACCACTAATCTAAACAGATTTAAGTTTCATTCTTGGTAAAGTTATTTAATTATTTATAGATTTTCTTTAAATAACACTCAGCATAATGCATCACTTACCATCCATTTAGTAACTGTGTGTAAGATACACACAAATGTGTTAGTAATCAGAGAAGGTATCAGAGTCTTTCTTCTTCCTTATCTTGACTTGCATATTATGTAAGCTTCTGTGTTAAAACCAGAAAAAGAGTGTGTTGGGCGGAGGCTGTGTCCACAGCCCATCTTCTGCCTCTGAGCCCGGGTGGGACCTGGGGGAGCGTAGGAGAGCCGTCTGTGCAAGATCACAAGGTGCCAGAGGACTGCAGAAAAGCCCTGTGCCCACCTGCACACTCCACTTCCAGTTTTGCATTGTTTGTGCCCCATCCTTGGTAAACAAACCGCCCCCACCTGCGCTGTAGACCCTGGTGTCCACCTGGTCTCCCACACGTGGCCAGGAACCACTCGGTTGGAGCAGTGTCTGCCACGGTGGCTACCTCATCTGGTGAACTCCGTGTGTGTGCAGAGGTCCAGAACCTGTTTTGCGTGGTGCAGTTTTAGTGTCTGCGAGTTTTCCAGTTGTTTTTGTCTACAAGCGGTTGGTTCTGAGAATTATTTACATTTAATTAGAAGTGCTCAACTGCCTTCTACCAAGAAAAGTCAAGCAGCTTGTTTCCCACTGGCAGGCTTCTGAAGGAACAGCTTCGCAGCTTGCTGAGCCATTGGGTTAGAAGCAGGTCGCTTGCTGAGGAGCAAGGCCGCATCCTCAGTTGCCGCTTGGCTTCTGCATTGCTGGCTTCTGGCGCGGACCCTGGATTGAGGTGCTCTCCCTAACAATCAGACGACTGCCTGCTTTGCTTTCCTTCCTTTTCTCTGGATGAAACTTCTTAGCAGGCTTCACTTGCACACATCTGTGTGTGTATATTGCACGATTTGTTGAGCTTACCCAGTGAGCTTGTTCTCTGTGGGACTTCTCAGATTAGTTTACTCTTTTAATCATTGAACCTTTTCTTTGTTTACAAAGTAGTATTATTAAACATTATTCACCCTCATCTCCCTCCTAAAACAGAAAGAAATCCAACTTCCCTTGACGACACAGGGCCGTCATTGTGGTTTAGTCATTGGCCTGTGCCTGATGCACACCGGGGCTACCGAGAGGGGATCGTTCTGCCAGCACATTCAGTGACCCTCCAGTGCCACATCTTGTGTTCTGGTTTTTGCCTCTGTGTCTCTTCCTTCCCTGACCAGCTGCCCTCCTTTCCTCCACCTCTCACTTGCTGTCTCTAATCTTCCATGAACTAGGAAATCAGATAAGCCTGCTTCCTAGAACTGAGAAATCAGACAAGCTTGTGTGCTGAACTCAGTGCCTGACATAATGTTTTATGACCCAAGTGAGTAACCGTCAGGGCACACTTGGCTATGAGTTTGAATGCTTTGGAATGCAAATAACTGGAAATCTTGCCTCATGAAGGCCCCAGTAAAGACCTTTATTGCCTCTCAGTGCTGTCTGGACGTGGCACTTTCAGCTTTGTTCTAGTCCTGGGTGATTCCATGTGCTCTGTCTTCTCCTATGTTGGCTTCATTCTCCAGCTGGTGCCAGTACGGCTGCTGTGGCTCCAGAGACACTTCCAAGGAAGGACAGATAACATCAGCTTCTGCGTCACACTTTGGAAGAAGGAAGTGCTTTCCAGAAGCACCCCAACTGACCTCCCCACAGACACAACTGCCCTTTCCCGACCCAGCCACTCACCACAGGTGCAAACATGCCATAATTGGCTTGGACTCATTAGCATCCACCCTAGACCAAACTGGAATACTCGTAGGGAGATGAAGGGGAAGGTGGACACGGGAGGAAACAGCAGTGTGTGCTGAAATTGGGACTGTCTGCTTTTGATTTTTTTTTTTAATAATTTTTCTAAATTTGAATCTGTGTCCATAATTAGTTCACATTTGGAAAAGATCCCCCTTTAGGAAAAGAAGTATTGTTTTAAGGTAAAATCAACTGGTTACCAGGGACATTTAGTGAAAATTATGTGGAGTAAGTGCATAGGAGGAAATGGATGAAAAGCTTGGATTGATTCTGTGTCAGTACTGTATTAGAACACTTGAATGATTCAGGACTACACAGTTCACTACAAGGAAATGTTTGGAGGGAGGAGCTGTTGGAAGGGAAGAATGGTGGAGGTGACTGTGGCTTTTCAGGCAGCTGATGCCCTTCAAACAGCTATAATCGAGTGTATCGAGGGACAGTAAGGGCCCACAACAAATGCAAGGTGATATAAAAAAGTGTGGCAAACATTTAAATTTAAAAATTGTATTACAATAAAAAAACACATCCACATTAATCTTCCTCAAAATGCTCCTCACTTCCAACACACTTATCCCATTCTTGTCACTTTCTGAAGCCACTCTGGAAGTCCTTTTTCATGGTATGTTTAGCTGTAGGTAGTTGCCTTCATAGTCTGAACCAATTTAAAACGTTTGCCTTTCATGGTCATTTTGACTTTGAGGAAGAGCCAGAAGTCAAGAGGAGCCAGATCTGGTGAATCAGTGGCTGCAGACAGACTGTAATGTTTTTATGAGGCTGCCTTTCCATCGGATAGCACTCAGGAACAGCATTCACTGTATTTTTTATCATACCTTATAGACACTCATGAAAGAGGACTTCCAGAACTGTTTCAGAAAGTGTCAAGAATGCTGGGATAAGTGTGTTAAAATTAAGGTAGAGTATTTTTTTTTTCTTTTTTTGGTACTGGGAATCGAACTCATTACCTTAGGCTTGCCAGGTAAGCACTTATACCACTGAGCTATCTCCCCATCCCAAGGTAGAGTATTTTGAGGGGAATTTATGGTAAATTTTTTTTCAATAATAAATTTGTAAAAATCTAAACACTCACCTTATATTTTATTATCCTTGTTATTTTCTTCTTAGAGCACATTAGGAAGGATTTCACAGTCACTTCAGATTTAAGTGAGATTATAAAATCCTAGTGAGAATATAATGATCTAGGATTAGAATCAGGTAGAGTGTCCCAGTTACTGTTATAGCAGGAGTGCTACCCTCCCCAGACTTATTACACACAAATGCACTAAGTGATCACATAAAGTAATTAATGTGGGCAAGGGCTGATTCTCGTTCCAGTTTCCATTTGATCGTACTTCTGCCAGAGCCACATGCTATGCAGTAGAGCATAGTGCAAGACGTAAGGAGCTCTTGCTCACTCCTGAGAGATTCCGGTGAACAGTCACACTCCATGGTGAAATGATTCCAGAGGTAGAGTGGCCCGGGGGCCTGGGGACCTGGGATGGAAGAAAGCATCCTGCTTGTTTCACATTTTTGGACTTGGTGAATCATCAGCACATCAAGCCCTGACTGGAAATCCTTGGATGTTTCAAGTTTCACAAACTACACCAGATATTTGGCTGAAAACAATTTAGCCAAATGGAATTTCACCAAATATAATTGACCAAATATAAAATATGTAGAGTTTACTTTAAAAATTATTTTTAAAGTGATTTGTCAGAGACCAGTACAAAAATAAAACTTATATGAAATGAATAATTATAGTCATTGGGTTTTTAGCACTGGTAACTTTGGTATACAGGTATATAACATATGTATAGTATATATTGGGAGGTAGTTTTAGAGCTCTCATGTATCTTAAGTATTTTTGCTTAAATGTAATAATTGTTTCTTTTTGGTTTTTTTTTTTGTTGCTGAGGATAGAACTCAGAGCCTCACATGGGTAAGGCCAGCACATTATTTTTTTTGTTTTGCCAATTATTTATTTTCTTTGCTTCTTACTATCCTGGAATATTAGGAAACAGCATTGTATGATGACAACATAAAAAAAATTTGAAATAATCTGAATAAACAATAGAAATGAGTTGACTAAAGCAACCTAAAGAGTCATTAAAAAGGGAATCTATTGGAGTAGAATTTTAATATATTTTCTTCCAAGGTTTATTTTCTTCTTTAATTTTTTGTTAATTGTTGCTTGGTATAAAGTAATATTATGCAATATAAAAAATAGAAAATAGATATGCAAAAAGGAGATTATAAGTCACCTATTTAGTTGAAAGCTTTAAAACTTGAATTATTTCCTACAAGTATTATTAATGTACATACATACATACATACATAGATGCTCACACATGCTCATCTGACAGCTCTGAAAAATAGGATCATGCCATAATAATGTTTCAGAAGCTGCAACATAAACTACATGCTAGGCATTAACTACTAGACCTTTGGATAATTTCAGCAAATATCCTATCAGTCTCAAAAGAAATTAAGAGTTATCATAGCTACAAAATGAGATGTGGACAATATGCTTCAAGCCATACAAAAAGCTATATCTCAACCTCATGATTAATCCCAATATTTAAAAAATTTAGTCAATTTCTATTCATTCAGGATGTTAGCAGGATTCTCTTACTGGCCAGTTTTCTTTGGACTACCTTTTTTAGCTCCAATTTACTTGTTGCCAAATCACTCCTGAATGATTCATTGGAAGATTCCGGGTCGTCTTCCCAATGCCGCCCTCGCTGAAATGTCTCTCAGTCATTTCCAACCCATTTGTCCTGAGGTGTCCAGCATCTGTGTGTTCCAATTAGTGACACACTGTAGGCCATGTTCCAAGAAGGGATTTCAGGTGACTCTCACAAATATATTCCACAGAATAAAGTCAAAGATAAGGGAAGCCAGGTGAAGAATATTTAGGAATTTAGTACCCTATGTTTTCAACTTTTTAAAGTCTAAAATTAGTTAAAAGTAAAATGTTTAACAAATATATTGTAAAATATAAAAAGGATTGAAATAAATCTTTTCCTCAAGTTAAGAGAAGTCAAAGTATTCACAGAAAATGAGAAAAGGTAACAGACAGACAGGAAAGAAAGAGAGGGAGAGGGAGAGAGAGAGAGAGAGAGAGAGAGAGAGAGAGAACATGAGAATTAATACAGCACGGTGTGCTCTAGGGGCTTACAGTTACTATAGTTGAGTTATGCCAAAGTAAAAAAGAAATATGATTGTTGTAAGAATCACATTGCCATATGTGAAAATAGAAATATCCATTAAAGAAGAGAAGCAAAAGGATCTCTGCAGTTAGATCTAAGGCAATTTTTTCTGCAGTTTTCCCAACATGAAGAGAAGTGGTAGAGTGTTTAAATACTCAACAACACATTAACTCTAAATAAAGTAATATCCTGCAGAAGTATCCTAGAAGTACAACCCTGGATAGATGGATAGGGAAGGCAAAGCATCAATTTTAGTGGCTGTGTGAGGTCACGGAAGTATGCTTTAGACAATTTTCTCTTTCAATGAAAAAAAAAAGCCTAATAGAGGGGAGGAGTAAGGAATGTTTTTGGAAATATTAACCTGTATGCTTTGATGGCAGACAGTTTAAACCATTAAATGCTAGGGAAGACAAGCTGAGGTGACAGACCAAGATTTCACAGCTATTAGCCAAGGCTGAAAAAGAAAAGATTCAAGGTAGGTAAGTTTAAAAGAACAGGAGAAGGTGTTCCCCCGAGATACGGATGCAGGTGTATGGACAAACACCACTGCCTGCCTTCTTCATTTCAGTCGGTAAAAAAGGGGAGGAGAGGCCCAGACTTCTTAAGTAAGGTCAAAACGTAGCAAAAGTTGTATAGTGTGTTTGCCTCCTCTCTATCTCTCTCCTCTTCCAGCCATTCTTATACCCAAGCTGAATGAAGAGGTGGAAATTACCCCACCTCCAGCCCTAAGGTCCTGCCACCTCTCAAAGAAGGACACTTAGGGTGGGCAATCCTAGAGCCTAGGATGAGAAGCCAGCATGGCCCAGGTGGGCATACCTGAGCTCCAGCTGGGACAGAGATGAAGATCCATGGCCCTGTTTCCTGGACCCAATTCTCTTCTCAGGGCCTTCTGCTCATGATGGGGACAGGAGAGAGGGAGCCTGTCCCCATGTTAGGCTCACAGCGCTCTCCTGCCTTTCCCCAGTAGATCTGCTCCTCCCTTGGCACCGTTACCCTCTAGTATGAAGGCGCTTTGGAACCAGTCCTTAATGAGGCTGCTGGAGTGAATTCCTAGTGCTGGAGGGTTTGGAAGTGATAGGGTGTTACATAAGGGTCCAAGTCCTTGTAGCAGTACTCCGACAGCCTAGCCACCCTGGGTACAGGTCATCTAGCACAGCTCTCTGCCTCTGCCTTCCCCGCTCTTACCTTCACTCTGTTCAAGGTGCTAGGTATGCAAGACTCATCCTTATCACCATTTCTTCTCCAGCCACTGCCCCTGCCTGTTCTTAGGTCTTCCTCGTCACCACTGTCCCACCACCCCAAGCTTGGCAGAAGAACTTTCCCATCCAGGACTCGTCACTGTTTGTTTATGTACAGCCCGCTCAAAGCCTGCTGAGCTCATAGGTGGGGTTTTGGGGAGGTACTTGGGTCATGGGAGCAAGACACTTGTCAGTGGATTTGTCCACCGATGAGTTTATAGCTGAATGTGGTTTGGGAGGTGAAACCTGTTTGGAGGAGGCAGTTCCTGGAAGGCATGCCCTGGAAGGGTCTAGCTCCTTCCTCCTCCCTAGTTCTCTCTGACTGCATTCTGGCACCATGTCATCAGCTCCTTCTCCTCTGCAATGCCCCTTCTGCCATGCTCCCCTGCCTGGGAGCCAGCTATGAACTGAAACTTCTACAAACAATGACCCAAAGTAAATCTCTTTTTCCTTAAACTGCGGATATCAGGTATAATATCTCAGTGAGCAGAAAGTAACAGAGATTTTGGTACCAGAGAAATGGGGTAGTTGCTGTGATGCTACCTGATTTTGCCATTCAGAAATCTTTGAAATTGGCTTGGGGAGGAGTTTGGAAAGGTTCAGAGATGCGGGCTAGAGAAGCAGCACTAGGATGCTGTGAGCTGAGCTTCATGGGAAATTCTGGTTGGAACTCAGAAGACCAGAATGCTAACAGTCATGCAGTTGGCAAAGACCAAGCTAGGTTGGGAAGAAGGGCTGCATTGGCAGTTGGACTCCAGGATTCCCCAGGATTCAGTTCACCATGCTCAGCCATCTAGGTACTCAGAGGCCTCTGCAACCATTGGCAAGATGATAAGGAGTTCAGCTACTGCTCCCATTGATGGCAGACCTTGACATCATCCACACAGTGCTGGTTTTACATGCATGCAGAATGCAAGAGTTTTGGGGTCAGGAAGGCTTGTACTCAGATTTCAGAAGATAGCACGGGATAGCATGCAATGTGCCCCTGAGAGTGCACTGTGAGAGTGAAGCTGAAAGTGCAGTGGAGACCCCAGGATGCTGGAGAATCTAGGAACCTAGAATGTCTGAGTAAAGCCAGCCTGAGAAAGAAGTCATGAGGGTTACATAGGGTCAGAACCCCCAAGCCTTTTGAAGTTCACAGCTTGCTGCAGAATGCCCTGGGTGCTGGACAAGGAACTATAATGTTTGACACACCCAGAACTGTGCTAAACCAATCCACCAGGCATTTTTTTATTCAAGTTAACACAACAACTATCACAGGAATCATCATTCAGCCTGCATACACTTGGTCCCAGTTCTCTGAAAAGTAGTTGAGATATACATACATATACACTGGACCTGCAGTGTGTGTATCCCAAGGCCTCCTGTGCTTAGAGGCAGAGCTGCAGAAGATGCCTGGAATACAGGGTGCTACAGCTGAGTTAGGAGATGGAGCCTGTTTGGAAGCGGTCACTTGGGTGTGACCCACAAGGATACATCTCCCTCCCCAGTCCTCCCTTCCCTCTCTGCTTCCTGGTTGCCAGGACCTGAGCAGCTTTTCTCTGCCCAGACGCTTCCCCCATGCCATTTCTGCATTCGAGACTGCCAGCCATGCATGGGCTGAAGCTTCTGAAACCATGGGCCAAAATAAACCTCTCCTTCAAATCGTGGGTGTTGGGTATTTTGCCTCCGCAGTGAGGAAAGTGACTAAGATAACCCAATGGGGTTTCACACATGGGGGATTCGAGGTGCGTAGATTTGAAGCAAAAGGGCAAAGAGGAGGAAGTGGAAGGGCAGGTAATAGGGGGATGAACGTAATTTCACACTTTTAGAAAACACATCTCCTGCCACTGTGGTGAGCTTATGCAAAGTCCCCAGGTCCCAGCCACTTTGCAGCCTTCTAACATGAAAAGAGGGGTAGGACTCTCACCAGCCTGGGGACCCTCTGCTTTTGTGTCACGGGCCCCTTCCCTTCCCCCTAATCTGCACAGCATTGTTTGTAATACTCTGAAGGTGGAGTTGCTTGTGGCTTCATCATTCACTCAGTAACTACTGAGTGAGCATCTGCTGGGTCCCACGCATTGCCAGGCGCTTGTAATAGAAAGGTAGACATAAATCCCCAGAAAATGCAAATCAGAATCACCAGATATCCCCTCACAACTGTTAAGGCGGCTATTATTATTATTATTATTATTATTATTATTATTGGTACCAGGAATTGAACTCAGGACCTTGCACTTGCCAAGCAGGTGCTGTGCTGCTGAGGTATATTTCCAGCCTGACAATTATTAATAGACGTGAAAAATCAAATAAGCAATAATACAATGTAACAGGAGACAATAATGCATTGTCCCAGGGGTAGATCAACTGGACAATAAAACTCAGTAAAGAAATATCAGAACTGAACCAAATGTGGGGACAAATGGACTTAGTAGATGTTGACTGAGTGTTCTACCTAACATCATCAGAACACATTCTTCTCAGCTATACATGGGATGTACTCTAAGTTAGAACATAAGCCGGGCATGGTGGTGCACATCTGTAATCCCAGCACTCAGGAGGCTGGGGCAGGAGGATCATTGTGGGTTTGAGGCCAGTCTGGGCTACAAAGTGAGCTCAAGACCAGCCTGAACTGCATAGTGAGACCCTGTCTCAAAAAGACCAAAAAAAAAAAAAAA